CTGCACCACAGGATCCTAACCATTACAGCAGGACTTCTTGGATCTCAGTGCCCTCTGGCACTGGATTCTGTGACACCCTGAGATGTCAACGCAAACCTGAAGGAAATGTACTGTATTGTTACAATTATAAGTTAGACTTTTCTCATCCAGAAGAACCATAAAAATTGCATTTGACATACAGAGAGTTTGCTTATAATTGGGCCCTTGATGGTGTAGACTTTTATACTTACAATATTTTGCACATGCCATACAAACACCAACTCAGAATTTTTTTCAGCATAGTTTTTAATTGATTTAACACCTGGGGCCTTTCCTTGACATTTGAAGTAGCAGTAGCATAGCTAAGGAGGGGCAGTTGGGACAGGTGTGCAAAAACAGTAGCTGCTGCAGTGCCTGGCCCAACCATTGTGGTTACCTGCAGCTCAGCTGAGCCACTGATGCTGCCTTGTGCACCACTGCTGAGGGTGCAGCAGTGCCCAGGTATGCCTCTAGGTCTGACAAAATCCCACCAGAGTAGTGGTTGATTTTTCATAGACATTAGGGCTGGAAGGGACCTTGGAAGATGACTGAGTCCAGACCCCTGCCCCAGGGGCAGGAAGTCAGCAGGGGTCATAGGCAAGATAAATGTCCAAATGTCTCTTGAAGGTGTTCAAAGTAGGTGCTTGAACCACCTCTGGCAGCAGTCTATTCCAGACCTCGGGGGCTCGGACAATAAAGAAGTTCTTCCTTATGTCCAGCCTGAAACGGTCATAGAGCAGTTTGTGACCATTCGATCTTGTCATCCCTTAGGTTGCTATGGTGAACAGGTGTTCCCCCAGATCCTGGTGAACACCCCTGATAAACTTTTATAGGTGGCCGCCAGATCGCCCCTGAGCCTGAGCTTTTCCAGGCTGAAGAGTCCCATAGCTCTCAGCCTCTCATCATAAGGTCTGTTTTCCTGACCTCTGATCATGTTCATGGTTCTTCTCTGGACTCTCTCAAGCTTCTCCTTTGAATTGCGGAGCCCAAAACTGGACGCAGTACTCCAGCTGTGGCCTCACCACGGCCGAGTACAACGGGAGAATGACACCCTGGGATTTGCTTAAGAAGCATCTATGGATGCAAGCCAGCATTTTGCTCGCTTTACTAGCTGCAGCATCACACTGATGGCTCATGTTCCTCTCGTGGTCAGTCATGACCCCCAAGTCCCTTTCGTCCGTAGCACTAGCCAGCGTAGCACTGCCGAGCCTATAAGCATGCTGCAGGTTTTCTTCCCAAGGTGGAGAACTTTGCATTTTTTGGTGTTAAACACCATCAGGTTCTCATCTGCCCATTTCCTGAGCCTGTCAAGGACAGCCTAGATCACCCTCCTCTCCTCAGGTGTGGATGCTTTACCCCAAAGTTGGGGGTCGTTGGTGAACTTGGCCAGTCTGTTTCTGATACCAGTGTCCACATCATTAATGAAGAAGTTGAACAGTGTTTGCCCAAGGACTGAGCCTTGAGGGACCCCACTGGTCACAGGGCACCATGACAATTGACTTCCATCCACCACCACCCTCTGGGTCCTACCATGGAGCCAATTCCCTGACCAGCATATTGTGGTGAGGCTGAGGCTGCAGTTAGCCAGTTTTCCTAAGAGATGATCGTGGGATACCAGATGGAAGGCTTTTTTGAAGTCAAGATATGATGTCAATCTCCTCTCCCTTGTCCAGGTGATAGGTCACCTGGTCGTAAAAGGAAATGAGATTGGTCAAGCAAGACCTACCCGCAACAAACCAGTGCTGGCTATCCCTCAAGATGTTGCCATTGGCCAGTCTGTTAAGAATGGCCTTTTTTATAAACTTTTTTTAAGCCTTCCCCAGGATAGAGGGATGGGCCTGTAGTTTGCCAAATCCACTTTCTTCCCTTTCTTGAAGATAGGCACCACATTGGCCTTCTTCCAGTCTTCGGGCACTTCACCAGAGCACCAGGAGTTCTCTAAGATCCATACCAGAGGCTGAGCTATGATGCTTGCCAGCTCCTTGTGTACCCTGGGGTGTAAACTGTCAGGACCAGCTGACTTGAAGGTGTCCAGCCTATCAAGGTGTTCCTTCACAAGGTCAGCATTGATGGAGGGTAAGGAATCTTCCTCACCCGGGCCTTTCTGTCCTGTAATGGGCATGGGTGTCCCATGGGACTGGTGAAAAACTGACGCAAAGTACCCATTTAGCAAGTTAGCTTTTTCCTGGGCATTGGTTGTAAGTTGTCCCATCTGGTTTAGCAGGGTCTATTGTTCCCCTTGCTTTTCCTCTGGCTCCCCACATATCTAAAAAAGGATATTGATTAGGGGGAAAGATGTCTTTGCTAAGCTGCACCTGAACTCATGTAGAGTGGTCTTTACAATACAGGTCCAACAATTAGGGTACCAGTAAAGTATTAGGATAGGAATACATTGATCCCCACCCTAATACTGAATTGTTTCAATACAGTTTTAGGGTGGGATAGCTGTATAGGACAGCAGATAGAAAAATGTTTTGCATAAGGAATAGGAACTCTTCCAGTAAGTTCAAAACCACCTCTGATGTCTCAGATATTCATTTATGGTGCTCTTTCTCTACGCTGTTGCTTGTTATGCCTGTTAGTACCCCATTATGAGTTTCCTCTGTGTGTGTGTGTGTGTGTGTGTGTGGGTTGGATTTGAAGTAGGGAAGAGAGGGAAAGAAACTGTCTCAAACATTTTTTGGTATAAGAGTTCTGAAGAAATGGATCAAGAACAGTTATTTTGATAGTTTAGATCTGGATTTACAAGAGGAGAATCATTTAAGTTTCCCCGGTCTCTGCTTTTGTTGGAATACAAGCTGATTTTTTTCCTTTGTTTTTATAGTGATTTTAGAACACCCTCTTATCTTTCAACCTGGAGTTTGTAGTATTTTACATACATTATTGCTTTGTTTAATTATTTGCAGCCTGCAGTCTGCCAGGGAACCGCAGTGCTTTTTAGAACTGCAAGCTATCCAGACTCTCTCAGCCTTTTTCTTTTTAAAATAGGTGATGCAACTTTTACTAACTTCTGATATGTGATTTTGTGGACTGGAGGGTAGAAAAGACATTTCTTGAAGACTATTTGAATTCTGAGAATGAAGATGGGGACAGCCAGCCTGACCATTACATTTTTTTTTTTTATTTGTGAATCTTCTGCATGCATTCACTGCTTTGGATGCATTACATGATCATACTCCAAAGTATAATAGACACCTGTACGAAAGCATGCCTAGATCCACAGACAACCTGGGCATCATGGTGTTTAGCTTGGTGGCACCAAACTTTCAGGCCTTGGGCTCCTGGAAGGGAGTGCCTGAGCTAGGGACCTAAGAGAGAGTTAGGTGCTTACAGGTATTCAAAACAGCCAGTACCTTGAGCTGGAGGGATGAATGAGGGCAGAGGACTGCCTGATCTAGCAAGTAGAAAATGCTAAGGAGAGGGGATGCCTTAATATTCTTTCATCCCTCACCTCTGGGAGTTCAGTTGCTTGTGAGAGATCAAGATTCACAGGTTGAAGCTTTGGTTGGAGCTAGACTCCTATATCATTCCTTTAAAAAAAAAAAAAAAAAAAAAAAAAAATGGAAGGGCTGTGTTGTAGATGTTTTTAAAAATAATGGTGTTGCTTTTCTTTATAAAACAGCTTGGTGACAAATGCATACCTAGAATGTAGGAGACCTGTGTTGAATGACCTCCCTTCTCAACTTAGGCAGAGTCCCTCTGCAGTAATTCCAGTCTAGCGCAGCCAGTAGCCTGGCAGGTGGGGCATTGCCTTGGTGAGAAACTTTGGGTTTGAACTTTCTTAGGCTGTGATTGGCATTGAATGCTGGTCTCCCATGACCACTCGCCACTCATCTATTGGATAATAAAGGGTTACCATCACTGTTGCTGTCACTGTCACCTCTCGCCATCCCCAGCAGGGCTTTGAGTAAAAATGGCCTGGGGGGTGGTATGGAGTTTCCTTCTGTCAGAGTGTATTCAGTCAGCTCTAAGTATGTTGATTAGATGGGGTTCCTGAGGGGATTTAGGTGTTGCTAATATGCTTTAAAGATTCCATGCAGGTTTATTTTAAGCTACTTATCCCTGTCTGGGCAAATGCAGAAGCAAATCTTTAGGCAGTTGTGGAACTTACTGGCAAAAACTTAAGTGCCTGTGGAGTTTAGGCCCCTGGCCAGTATGTAAGATTTATCTAGCCACCCAAGTCCCATGCAGGGTTCTGATGTGAACCTGTGTGCAATTTCTTTTCTGATTCCAGGTCTACCCAATTCATGTATATTGTTTTAATATTGATGAGATATATTGGAAAAGGTAGAAACGCTTCAAAGATGTAATTTATACAAGGATGTAATTGATACATGTTCACATGCCTGTCTGGACTTTGTAGTAGTGTGGTAGTTATGCTGGCACAGCAGTATGAGGAACAGGTTTTGTGAGGGGAGAGAATCTCTTTCATTAGACCAACATGCATAACTGGGGAAGAAGGAGGAACAAGCTTTCAGGCTGCAAGTGCCCTTTGTCAGTTCTTGGAAAGTTCCAACTTGTACTTAGTTTGTACTGTGACTGCTGATGGAGTGTTTCTGCAGTCCAAAAGCTTGTCTCCCATTTCCTATGCAAATTGGTCCAATATAAGAGATTTACTTTGCCTCATACATCTTCCTGGTCCTAGGCTGTAACACATTATTTTCAGCTAGGCAGATTATTTATTCTATTTTACTGGTTATTTCAATTCACAGTGATGAAACCAAACCACTTTTGTACCACTTAGTCATAGTATAATGATGTATGCAAGAATTATTACATTTTACCTAAGTCTAAAGTACAAATGTTATTTCTGTATTAGTTGCTATCAATGTAATGGGTTTGGGTGAAAAGGGCAAAGTTACCAAAACTTGTTATAGCTGTAAAGGCACATCATTTTATCTATCTTGTATGTCTTTTACTCTCCTTACAGATCATTTAGTTCATAATCTGTAGGATTTTTTCTTTTGTTTTTATTTTTAAAGGCACCAGAAGTGATCCGGATGCAGGATAGTAACCCATTTAGCTTTCAATCAGATGTTTACTCCTACGGAATAGTGTTATATGAACTAATGACAGGGGAGCTGCCATACTCTCACATTAACGACCGAGATCAGGTGAGAAACACAAATTCCAGTATCATGTTATTCGTGGCTTCTGAGAAAAATCCGTTCGGTTTTCCTAAAGAAGTGGTTTATATTGCATGCTTGTAAATTATACGTATTAAGAGCATCACTCTTCCTGAATAGGTTACTGCTTGGTTCTGTATTTGATGCCATCTTTGTGTATTTTTGGAGACAAATATAAACACCTGGAAGCAACCAAGTATCTATTCTGCAGAAAGAATGTTTCTTAGTATGACAGCACTCTGCCAAGTGTGGTGGTCTAAAGAACTTAAAGCAACATTATAAGAGAAATCAAACATGGGACTTTTGGTCTGATATGAATCTGTTTGGTGCATCTTACTAAAAGTAATTGTAGTTGTCACAAGTTAAAAATGTTGACATGAACACCTACAACTTTTGGAACTATTTTTAGTTGAACAAATTTAAAAAGGGGGAAATCCTCTTTCCTTGAATTCTTCGATAAAGTGTAGTATTACTTTTCTTAAACGTGTTTTCCTCTATGCTGTACCTCCAAGGCAGTTCATTAACTTAATTTCACTGTTTGCTCATTTTTTTAGTAATGATCAGTGGGAAAAGCTGGTCAGTTTATTGGTAAAAGACCCATAATACCTCATAGTCTGTAGTCAAACCAGTTTTATTAGTTTCTTTTAAATGATTTTGCCATTTTAGGTAAGATTCAAATCGGAGAACTGGGAAGTGGATTTAAAAAAAAAATGCATAACATTCTCAGCATTCTACTCCATAATGCTGGAAGCCTGTGCTTTGAACAGCCATTCCTGTTAATGCAAAACATTGATTTACAAGGAATCTGGCTGTCAACTAAATATATATTTCTGAGATGAGTTGGTACACTTCCATATGTGCTGTTGGCAATTTATTTCAGCAGCTTTATTTACTGTTAGGCAATTGGCTGTCTGTGGGGCTTTCAGAAGTTACAAAATAAATGTAGCATAGTTGTAATATTTTTATTAATGCATATACAGACATAGTTTGTAATTAAAACATTGGCTTAAGCGTAGTCAAGATCTCACTAGTCCATTAGCCATCTTAATTATTTCAGTAATATTCCTGAAAGCCTTCAGCAAACCATAGTGGTGGTTTGCTAAAATCTTAGTAGTACATTTTCTCTTAACTGAGATGGTGGGGGGAGTCAGTCTACAAGGTTTTTTTCCTCATTAGCTGGCAATATAAGGAAACTGCAAACTCAAAGATGCACTTGAATGGCATAAGAAACTGCCTTTCCCTTTATGCACACAGATGATAAATGGACATGTGTTCTGGTGAGGGATTTTGATCAAACCATATAAGTACAATTTGGGACTGGTCAGTCAATATGGTGGTAATTTAAGCATCAGTCAAATGGGTTTAGCACTTCTGGCTGCTAACGATCACCTTGTTTTAAGGGTTCTTTAGCACTTGCATCCTGTAACTCCAGCAAGTTTCAGTCAGGAAATGCCTTGGAGGGCTTGTTGCTATGATAAATTATATGCAAAATAATAAATGAGTAAATTATGGAATAACTGCAGCGTCACTTAACAGTTGGACAGATAGTGTCACAGATCAGAACAGTGGGCCTGTTCCATCTTACTGATTTTTGTCAAATCTTGGAAGAACAGTAGATACTTTGCCTTCATTACTTCAATGTTAAAGATGACTGCAATGTCAGCCAGTGAAATAATATCTAACGCTGGTATTCAAACTGTTTGTACTTCTTTGCTTAGATCATTTTTATGGTTGGTCGAGGTTATGCATCTCCAGACCTCAGTAAACTGTACAAGAGCTGTCCCAAAGCTATGAAGAGGCTTGTAGCAGACTGTGTCAAGAAAGTTAGGGAAGAAAGACCTCTGTTTCCACAGGTAAGTGTTCTTTTTGTTATTAAATCCTAGAAACAGTTCTTGCATTCTGTGCTTCAGTTTCCAGGGAATATTAAAAATATCAAATTAGTAGTCAAGAAAGACAGAAAACAAGTCCACTGTAAGCCAAGGAGAAGTGAATGAGATAGGAAGATACTGCTTATCTGCCTTTTTCAGTGACACATTCATGAGGCAGGTGTCCTGCCATAAGCCAGTTTCCCTGTATGTTGGAGAACTGATTGCTAGAGCTGCACAAACATTTTGTGAATGACATAAAAACCTGTCTTCACACAGTTACTCATTTTTTAATGACTGGCTGATGTAGAATTGATGGGCTGTACTGCTTCCATTTCTAGTTTACTTTTTAGAGGTGATATTCAAAATGAAAAAGCAAAAAAAACCCCCAACATCTGAGGGAGCCTGCACTGTTCATGTAGCCACATGTTGACAGAAATGCTGTCCAGCCTGAGGCATGAGGAGTTCCATATCCTTTCCTTGTCTGTTAGAAACAGGCCATTTTTCTGCTCAGAAGAAAAGTTTTGGGGAGCTTTCCTCTCTAAATGCAGCTTCCTTATTTACAAGATTGCAGGTGCAGTGTGCAGTCCTGCCCTTTTGGCATCTTCTGGAAAAACTGGCTGATCATAACCAGGATGAACCCCACTGCCCTCTCCAGCTCTCCACTTTAATTAAGATAAAAACTGTCTGCCTTAAAGGTACAGCCCTTCCAACCTCATGTTCAATTCTGATTTCCTTTCTGGCATTTCACTAGAACAAGGGGGTTCCTAACCAGCACTGCAGTAAGTCAGGCAACTGCTCTGAAAGATTGAGAAATTAAGCATTAAAAAAAAATGCAGGTAGGCTGTTATAAGTGTCTGATTTCAACATATCCACTCTGCCTTCCAGATTCTGTCTTCCATTGAATTGCTGCAGCATTCTTTACCCAAAATTAACCGGAGTGCTTCTGAACCTTCTCTGCATCGCGCAGCCCACGCAGAGGACATCAATTCATGCACGTTAACATCCACAAGGCTACCTGTGTTTTAGGATTTCCACACTGCTGCCCTTGCTCTCCCCAATAATGAGAAAGTCGTAGCAGTTGTGTTTTTTAATGCCTCAGTGTACAGGATCGCAGTGCAAGTGGGATTCTCTGCATCCCAGGTTTTAGAACCAGCTGCTTAAGGATTGCTCCGGTTCTAGTCCTGCAGGGACATGGCTCCATGTTGCCTTTTTCTACAATGTCTTTTACTGGGATAGAGTTAACTGAGACTATAATCAAGAAAATCTATTACTATTTTTTTAATAGATGCACTTGAGCCTTACTTTCCCATAAGCAGAAGAGGGACATTTCTGTGGAAGTGTTCCTGTCTTGATTTGATTCTGTTGAATAAATTGGTATTTTATAGCAAGGATAGCTCACCATTTGAGGAATAATGCCGATTTGATGCTGTTCTTTGAGTGTCCCAAGCCATGTGCTACTTCACAGTGAGTAAATTTTGACTAAAATGGGCATTTTCAAACTGGCCTGAGGGAAGCAGACAAAGAAAAGCCTGGAATTGATTCCTGTGAAGAATGTTTCATCAAACAGATGAAATTGATCAAAAGTCTGGTCATCTGATTTTGCACGTTGAAGAGAAAAACTCCTGCAGTGGGATGGAATGCATTCTGAACAGTGCTGCTCAGAGAAGGAAGCTAGCACAATCTCACTATGGTCATCTTTAGTAACTTAAGCAGTTTATATTGGTACTATGGACTTGCTTCTTGCAGCCCAGTGAGGTATCAAGTGCAGGATGACAGACTTCTGTTGAAGAGAAGTGGCTAAGTAACAAATCAGTGTATTTCTGCAAAACAAGCATGGTCTTCAACCCACCTGAAGCTGTCTTCCGAGAGATGCACTATAAGGCAGAAACTGAGGGTATACAGTTTTTCTTGCTGATTTGGGTTTTAATTGTTTTTATTGCTCCACAAAAATGCATTTATTGTAAGTCCAGGTTCCTCTGATTATCTTATTTTAATAAAATAAATTAAATTTAGGCTTTTAAGTTCAGAGTCGTTCTTTAGTGCAGCATCTTAGTTCCAAGAAGTCTATTTAGATGGATACATCCAAGAAAATTTTTCACTTGTCCATATAGGCGGTATAAAGACACTACAGCAATTCTCCATTACATCAGATACCCTTTACTAGCACGAACAAGAGTTGCCATAAGTTTCCAAACATTTGCATGTTCTTCATATATCATGCATGTCTGTATTATACTGTGTTGTCATTAAACATTTAGCAACGTGGAGCTCCCTGTAAAGCGGTACTTTGACCTTTGATGGCAAGATAGCCTAAAAGTTCCCTCTTGTTGACTTCTACTTCCATACTATCCCTCTGATGATAACTACAGCATTGCTTAAAAATATAAGTCCATGGAATGTATTTTACCCTGCTCTCTCTCATCTTCTTTCAAGAAGCGTCAGCTGGCCCATTTCTGCTCTTCCATCAGTCTGTCTTCTCTTGGAAAGCAGATGCACAGTGTGGCCAGTAAACTCAAGATGGCAAAGATTAGGAATGGCAAAAGAACCCAATCTCAAACCATAGGTCATTTGTTATTTCTCTCCTGTTTAAGCATTTTCGTTAAGGAAGAATAGAAATAAAGTGGTAGGACCTGCCTGTGTGTATTTTATACAGCTCCCATCTTTTCTCCTACCTTGACTGTCAGCTGTTCCAAAATGTACTACCTCATTCAGTCCAGAGGAATAGCCATAATTTAACTTGAAGACAGTAAACCAGATCAGTTCTTTGTGTGATAGTGGATGTCTGTGCTACAGTTTAGCTAAAATTATTCAGCCTGGCAAGTGCTAAAGTGGTGGCTATACTGCTGTGAGTTGTTCAAAACTGTATTCAACAAATTGTTGACAGACAAAGACTATGAGTAAATATACATAAAAAATGCTTTTCTAAAAGTGTAGGGCCTAGGGTATGGGTGTTGGAATCCATCGTTACCCTTTAACTATTGCATTCACATGATCCTATACTGGAACAATTTGACTAAATTGCCCTAACTTTGACCTGAATTAAGTGAGGTTAAATTTGAAATGTTTTTTTCTACACTTGCATCACCGTAAAATCATGGAGGATGTGACAATTGTAAGAGCTTATAGTACCAAAGGATGCTGGTATGTCTGTCTCTCTGCCCAAAGACTCCTTCCTCTGTTACCTATGAAAAGGCCACAGGTAAGAACTTACTGAAGCACAAAGCAAAGAAGCCTATCAGAAGAAAAGGTATTTAAATAATTTTAAAAAATTAAAGACCAGAAAAGTTCTTTTTCTCAGAATAAATATTTCGCCACAAAATACACATTAGCTGATCATTAAAGTGGTTGTGCCAGAGGCAAGAATTCTTGTAAAGGATATCTCTTATAGACCAACTGTATGGTTGGCATAGACATAAGTAAGCCTTTGGGTATCACAGTACAGGCAGTCCTCAGACTTACGACACAATAGGTTCCTGAAAACCGTGTCTTAAGTTGAAACGTTGTAACTGAACCAAATTTCTCACAAGAAACAATGTTATAAATGAACTGGTTCCTGAATCAAGGCCCGATACCCTGTTTTCACCAAAAATACCCCAGAATTTTGTACTCGGATCAATTATAGAGGAGTAATATAGCTAAATTAATGTTTTTATGTTGTAAATAGCAATCACATTGATTTGGAAGGACTTCTTTGAGGTGACTTTGCTGGACTTTTTGAAAGGCTCTTGGTTGGACTTTTTGAAGGGTTTTTGGCTGGAGTCTTCTCAGGAGTCTTGGCTGCAGGCTTTTCTGACGTCTTCCTTCTTAATGAAAGTGTCCAAGGATGTTTGGACAGATGTTCTCCAGGGAGATGGGTGACGCAGCGAACTTGTTCCCTAGCATGGCCTCACATCAGATCAAGCATTGTAAAATCAAAACCAACATCAGAAGGTTGAAACAGGATGTCAGTTTATAAACATTGTAAGTGCAAAACATTGTAACTCGACATGTTGTAAGTCAAGGACTACCTGTATCCTCTCTCAGGCCTCAAGGCATAAAGTTGGTCCAATAAGAGAGAGCACCCACAAGCATTTTTACCTCTCACCTCTGGACCATCACGGCAACATCACCATCTTAAGGTTGATATAATTTATGACCCTTGAATCCAGCTTTACTATAAAGTCTATGCATTAAAACTGAATAAGCAGGGAAATGAACTTACTGTTCACACTTGTGATTAACACACATTTTGAACTCGGGTTGATCACTTTAACTATAACTATCACTCATATGCTAATAAAATGTTTGAATTTAAGAATAAATCTTTGTTCAGTTGGTTTGTAAGAGGACTAGAATCATGTATTATCTGCTTGACCTGTTTCCAAAATGAGTAAGCTATTGACCTGGTTTTACTTGCAACTTAAATAAATCTTTACCCTAAAAGGGAATGTTGAAAAATCTTAACCGGAATCATCTTGTTTTTAAAGTACCAGTATGATAAGGGGACTCACTCCTTACTGACAACAGGAACTGTAAAATTGCCTTACATGAGAGGGTTCAAAATTAAAGGCAGACAAAAGCAGGACAATGCCGAAGCTCAGCTACTAGTTCTGTGCTTCTATTCTTTAATATTTGGAAGTGACATGAGTGTCCTTTCTCAAAAGAAATGCAGTGCAGCAGTGTTGGAAATAAGCCACAGGGAGAATTAGTAATACAGTTGTTGCTTGTGTTTTAAAGTGGATGTCTAGTTGCTTAGATCACAAGTGGCACAGTTGGGGAGGGTACAGGCAGCACAGTGGCAGATAGGGCAGGGAACAGAAAACAACACCTGACTAAGCAGGGGAAGGGGATCAGAGTAGCACTTGAGGAGGGTGTGGTGCTAACTTGTGGCATGCCTGCTGAAAAGGTTGGCAATTGTCTGGATCTCTGAATACATTGTTAACCTTACACTTTAAAAAAACTCTTGACCATCTTGCTGAATGTAGTACAGCTCTTTCCTTCATCCTCTCTCCCATTGTCCACCTATTTTCTGTAGTTTAGATTGTGATTACCACAGGTATCATGTTATTCTATGGATGTATAATGCTTAGTATAAGGAGACAGATTCAGCCCAGACACCTCCCAAGTATCTAACACTTAAGGCTTTCCTTACTAGAAAACTTGTCTTAAATCTAGACAGCTATCTCCAGTGACCCAGAGTATCCTGGGAAGAAAAGGAGAGGCACCACTGCATCTTCCTCATCCTGTAATACATTTTGTTGATAGCCTCCCCCCTACATTCAATTGTAAACACACACACGCGCGTGCGTGCACGCGCACACACACACACTCACTCACTTCCTCCCCCCCCCCCCCCCCCACACACACCCAATAGGAAGGGAGAAAGCCCAAAACACCCAAGTTGAGAGAGAGAGAAGGTTGGAATAAGGGATAGCAAATAGCCCAGCACCCAGGCATGGGTACCCTTCCTTTCAAGCTAGAACAGAAGCCAAAGATTTAAAAGGAAACTAAGAGACCTGGAGCACAACAGCAATGACTAATGAAGCAATTTAGTAACCTGGAGTGATGAAGAAATGCACTCCATTTTAATACCTCCTACAGCTCTGAGAATGTTACAGAAAGCCTTTAATCTGTACTAAGGGGCCAGAGGCTTTGTGCAAGTAATTAAGAGTCCTCCTAAGAGACTCAGAAGTTCTTTTATGCAAAGCTAGATGCCAGTGCTAGAAATATGATCTGAAACCGAACAAGGAAACAGATCTGAACTGCTGGGGGATAGGTTGTATAATAAATGCAGTGGTGGGAGCAAAGGTCTCAGTTACAACCATGCCAAGGAGATTATTTATAGAATGTCAGTTTCTCTACCCTCTTTATCAGCAAGGTACAGTGTTCTATCCCAGGCTCCAGGTTGCTGGGGTGGAGAAACACATTCCCTTTGCAGGAAGGGGGTGGGGGCAACATGTTTTACATCTTAAATATGCTGAAAGTAAAGCAGGGAGAGCTTTACATTATCATTAACTTTTGTCTTAAAGGCATTAAGTAGAAGTTGCACTTGATTTTAAGTATAACATCTATTACTGTGATCTTGCAATTGGTACCTGAACCAGGTAATAACAAGAGGCCTAGAGACATACTGTACTGGGTTAATCAAAGCTTGTTCTTCAGAATGTTTTGATAAAGACTTACCTTGAACTTAATGCTCTAGTAGTCAGAATAAATTTGGCATTCACTGCTGCAGTTTGGAACTAGGCTGAGACTTTTCAGCTGCAGCAGGTACGCTGCTCTGAATCGGAGTCTAAGGTGCAAAAGTGTTCTTTTCCTCCATTTGCTTTCCCTCATTTCACCTTGCAATCTAGATGATCCTGCACTGTCAGTTAGGAATTGCAGCAATAAATCACACAATGCAACTATAGCACCTTACACAGCTGGCCAAGACCAGTGGCATCTAGTTAGAATTCCCTTGGCTAGTGCCCCAAGATGGAGAGCAGATACAGGAGGTGCATCTTTACATGAAATGTCACACTGGCTCCACAGTTCAAAATCCCCAGTATTTAGCTACAGTGAAGGGATGATATTACAGCTTGAATTATGCAGTAACATACAATTCCTGTACTTGTTCTGAATTGTTGTGCTTTGTATTAAAATGCCTCATTGGTTAACCTGTAGTGAGATTTTTACCTACACAGCAAACCAACACCACCCCTGCAACAGCAGTGGCTCCAACACACATCTACCAGGCAGTCCCTCTCTAAATGAAGAGCTAGCCTTCCTAAGAGTTTGGCACTGTCTGTTTCTGTGGGATAGATAAGTGGTGCAGATTTGATCCATGGGTGAAGCCATGCGTGCCCAGATGTGGCATGCAGGGCTCCCTGCAGATCCAGAGGTTTGGCATCAGGGAGAGGCAGTTAAAGCTGCCAAAGCTTCCCTCACCACCAAATTTCCAGGTCCTTAGGAAGCCTAGAGGGCTGGATAAGACTGCCCTAAATCCATGATTTGGCTAGTTGTAGGCAGGCTTCTGAAATGGAAAAGAAAAGCAAGATGTGCTTACAAAGTTACCTCCTCCCCCTACAGGACTTATGGATCACTAAGTTTTTTTCCATGCATGTCACTTAATTTCCTTTATTAGCCTTAAGTATTTTTGTTGTAGTACAAAGACTTATACTAAAACCGTGCTAGAACCTCAGCAAGCCACACATTCTGTTTACAGTAAAAAGTAAAACTGCTAAATAAATAGCTAGATGGATACAGAAAAAACATCTTCAGGTCTTCTCATTGAGAAGTAGCAGACTCTTCATCTGCCCCTGAGAGGTGCATGAAAAGCTCCCCAAGCTCTGCCACATCATCAGCAGCACTGGGCATAGTCCGACTTTCTCTATCTTCAATGAAATCCCAGAGCCGAACAGAGTTGAAGAACTGTAAGAGAAAAGAGCACAAGTGAACACCTTGCTGATTGCTGGAGAAGCATGATGTTCTTGCAGCTTCAACACTGCAGTAACAACTTTTCCCCAGGCAAAAGTATGAAACTGAAAGGCACTTTCTTACTACAGTACAGAGCAACTCTGGAAGGGAATGTGTGACTACAGCAAAACAGTGCCACTGTTATCCATGTGACTTGAGTAACAGACTACAGATGTCCTGCTTCTAGGACACAAACAGGACCATTCTTAAGTGTTAAAGGAACAATTCCCCCTGGGACAGCTAAGAGAATGTCTCTTGCTCCCACCACTGAAGGTTTCAGTGTTAGCAGATATTCTTTGGGCTAATTGGCTCCAGTTAAGATGAACTGTAAACCCACTAGAAAAATCAAAACTTATGAGCCAGTGTACTCCCCTAATCTTCTCTGGCCAGCTCATCCTGCTGAGTCTTGTCCAAGGGCTGGTCTTAATGTCAGCTGCACAACAGCTTTGGTAGCGAGACGTTAGAGAGCTGAGGTCACTTCACAGCACTAATCAAAGCCCTGGTCCCACAACTATTTGTGTGAACTCCCATTTAGCTGTATGTTGTGGGCTCCTAACTGGGAGAGCTGCATCCCACACAACATGCAAATCTGCCCCATTACCATACGGCAAAGTTAAAATGTGATTGAGATGTCAAGGACTCATTTTCTGCTCGGTTTTTAATCTTGGTCTGTTCTAAACATGCCTCCAAGCAGAGAAACTGTGCCTGGCTCTGAAGCAGCAGCTTACTCAGAAGCAAGACTCTGAAGAGAAGGAAGAGTCCCCTCACCCGCACAGTGCCCTCAGAGCTGAGCTGTTTCCGTGGTTTTTCAGGTTCAGCTCTCGTCCCATCTGGGTAGGCATGAAGATAAAGGCATTTCCCTCCAAATGGGCAGGTTCCTTTCCCTTGTTCAAAGTATTTGCAGGCTTTTTTCCTAAGAGAGAAGTAAATACCATCAATAAAAGTAGAAAAAACCCCCAGTGTCCTTGTGTGCATGCATACACCCCCCCCCCACGTTCTTGTGCTACCCACCCACATTTTTCTTTTACTCTTGCAGAAAAACCCTGCACCAGACTGACTCATCTCAGTCAAGAAAGAGCACACAGTTGGTAGTTGCCAGAGAATGCAGCCACTACCTTGTCTACAAGCAACAGTTCTCCATCTGTCACCACCTTTTCTGTTGCTTAGATTTTACTAGCCTCAACTGCACTCCTGACACACACACAGGTACAGAACTGAACTGAGGCAGTAACTTAGCTCTGCTGTGCTCTCTAGTGCAACTTTCACAGGAAGGGTTAAGCTTGCTTTCCCCAAAATGTTACTTTGCTGTCTATTCATGAGCTGCCAGGTGTGAGCACTGGGGCTGTGCGAGGCTTCGGACAGAGCTTCGGATCCAGAGAAGCTTTGGACGCTTCGGCATCCGAAGCAGCATGTCTGGATCAAAGCACTGCCTTTGTTAGGCTTTCCGAAGCGGTTTGGAGCTTCTGAAGCGCTTCAGAGCCGCTCCGGGGCTGAGGATGGCGACCTGCTGGCTGAGCCGCTATTCTACAATCCACAGTTAGCGGTCCTGGCGGCAGCATCGTCCAAGGCTCACCAGGGGATGGCCCGGGTGGGAATCACCTGGCTCAGAGACCTCCTGGACTATGACGAGCAGGGATGGCTAGGCCCCACGACACTGGCTTGGTGCCCGGGCCTGACCATAGGCCGCGCAACCTACTTGCGCCTAATCCAGGAGGTGAAAGCCGCACTGCCTGCAGAAGCCCTCGCCTACCTGGAGCAGATCCTGCAGGAGGGTGGTCCCCGCCCTCCTGAGTCCCCCAGCCTTGTGGAGCTGCTCACTGAGCCTGCAGCCTATCGGCAGGCTCCGGAGCACTCCCCACGACACCATCTCAGTCTGCTGGGGGACGTACGTCTGGTCCGTTTCTCAACCACCCACCAGCACCAGCTCTACACGCTCGTCCACACGATTGTCCATCATTTCTCCCTTGTGTCTCACCAGGATACCAAATGGCGGGACATCTTAGGCAAGGATGATGCCGACGGGCCCCGGTGGCTGAGCCTGTATTCCACCCTCATCCCCAGAGCCACCGGGGCCCTAGGTTGGCAACTCCTGCACAGAGCTGTCCCAATGGGCGTGTATCTGGCACACTTCAAAGCGGCCTCCGACCGGTGCCACTTCTGTCATCAGGAGACCCTGGCGCACATGTTCCTAGAGTGCGCCAGGCTGCAGCCCCTGTACCTCCTCCTCCAGAACTTACTCCTCAAGTTCTGGCTGCAATACTCCCTGCACCTTTGTGTTTACGCACTCCCCATATGTCGCCCCACTAAGGCCTGGGACCTCATGGTCAACCTCCTCCTGGCTCTGGCCAAGCTCACTATCTCGCTATCCAGGGGGGACGCTCTGGCTGGGAAGGCTCCTGGGGACCTTGGAGCATTTTTCCTCGGTGTCCCGAGTGAACGACTCCGAGTGGAGCATCGCTGGGCGGTCGCTACCAGCACTCTAGCTGAGTTCGAGGGCTGGTGGGCACTGTCTGGTGCACTCTGCTCAGTGTCCCCCCAGGGAGCACTTGTTTTGGCCCTTTAACCCTGCCTGTGCGCACCCTGTTTTCTTATTATTTGTCCCCTGTAACCAGTTGAATTTTTCAAGGCTCTGGCCGCCCAACCAGTGGCAGCCCCCAATTCTTAGTGGGCTGGGCCCGTGGCCTTTTAAATTCAAATAGATTAGAGTTGCTTTGGAGATCTGGCCATAGGGTATAATGGGGAAACAATGAAATATCTAACTTGGTTGGTTTTTGTCTGATTTGGATGAAATTTGCAGGGATTGTAGTCTCTGCTGAGAGCATGAAGTCTGCCAAGTTTCAAGAAGATCGGTGCAGGGGTTCAGGGGGAACTGCACCCCAAGTTCTTGAAAGCAAAACTCATGTCATGTCTATGTGTTACACCACAGGGGGGTGAAAACTGCAGGGGTGATGGTCCCTGGTGGGCCACAAAGCTTAAGCAAAACGCATGTCATGTCTATGTGTTACACCACAGGGGGGTGAAAACTGCAGGGGTGATGGTCCCTGGTGGGCCACAAAGCTTGCCAAGTTTCAAGGAGATAGGTGTAGAGGTTTGGGGGGAACTGTACCTCACACTGCAGACAAGCAAAACTCATGACATGGGTGAGACTGTGTGTGTTAAGGCGCTGCAGGGATGGTAGCCCCTGCTGCAGACACAAGCCTGCCAGCTGTCATGGAGATAGGTGCAGGGCTTCTGGGTTCTGCAGCCCTGCACCTCTAGCTGCTGACAGGCAAAACTCGTGACATGGGTGCTTGTGCAACTGACTGTCTCTTGTCTTGGGGCGTGGGAGAGGCTACTGCAGGCCTGGCTGCTAAGCTACTGTGTTACCAGTTACCAATCAATCATGATTCACTCAGGGACCAGCTCAATACACAGTACCTAGCTAATGTAGCCAGTTAATTACCATCAATTAGCACCTACAAAAGCAGAGACTAAGGAGAGGAAATAATCAATACAATCAACTGCCCCTTCGACAGAGTTTCGTACCCTATCCTCAGTGGGAAGCTAGCAGACTGTGGAGTGGACGCCTACACGGTCAGGTGGGTGGCCAACTGGCTCAGGGACCGCACCCAGAGAGTGGTGGTGGATGGTTCCTTCTCGGCCTGGAGGGAGGTGGGCAGTGGGGTCACGCAGGGTTCGGTCCTAGGACCGATATTATTCAATATCTTCATCAGCGATTTGGATGAGGGCATGGAGAGCACCCTCTCCAAGTTTGCTGATGATACCAAGTTGTGGGGCAAAGTTAGTACACTGGAGGGCAGGGAGCAGATTCAGGCTGACCTGGACAGGTTGGATCAATGGGCAGAGAGAAATAGGATGCAATTTAATAAAGATAAATGTAAGGTACTCCACCTGGGAAGGAGGAACCCCCAGCACACCTATAGAAGTCAGCTACAATAATGTTCTACATTTTTGTTGGTGGCTGGTTGGTCATTTTTATGGTTAGCTGGCCATTTTTATCATGCAATGATTACATGTATCATGTCTAAAATTCGCATGATTAGTGGCCTTCGTGATAGACGCTACGGGGGGAGGTTGAGAGAGCTGAATCTCTTCAGCCTTCACAAGAGACAGCTGAGGGGAGATCTTGTGGCCACCTATAAATTTATTAGGGGAGGTCAATAGGGAAGAGAGGAAGTGCTGTTTACTAAGGCGCCCCAGGGAGTGACTAGGAATAACAGGTGTAAACTAGTTGAGAGTGGATTTAGGTTAGATATTAGGAAGACATTTTTCACAGTGAGGGTGGCCAGGATCTGGAATGGGCTTCCAAGAGAGGTGGTGCTATCACCTAGCTTGGAGGTCTTCAAGAGGAGGCTAGACAGTCACCTGGTTGGGGTCATCTGACCTCAGTCCTCTTTCCTGCCAGGGGCAGGGGTCGGACACGATGATCTATTGTGGTCCCTTCTGACTCTACAATCTATGAATCTATGAAAGACAGAGACAGTCAGTTGCACAAGCACCCATGTCATGAGTTATGTCCATCAGCAGCTAGTGGTGCACGGCCCCAGAACCCCCCTAAACCTATCTCCTTGACAGCTGGCAGGCTTTGTGGCTGCAGCAGGGGTTACCATCCCTGAAGCTTTCACCCTGCTGTGCCTTAACACACACAGGGTCACCCATGTCACAAGTTTTGCTTGTCCGCAGCTTGAGGTACAGTTCCCCCCAAACCCCTGAACCAATCTTGAAACTTGGCTGACTTTATGCTCTCAGCAGAGTCTCCCACCCCTGCAAGTTTCATCCAAATCAGACAAAAAACAACAAAGTTATAGATATTGCATTGATTCCCCATTATACCCTATGGCCGGATCTCCGAGGCAGCTCCAAAGCTTCGGAGCTGCTTCAGCCGAATCGAAGCAGAAACCCAGTCCAGAGCTCTGGATCAGATCACTGCCATCCAAAGCGGCCAGATCTGAAGCCAGCAGCAATCTGATCTGACTCGCATAGGCCTAGTGAGCACCTTGGGGAGGAAGGAATTCAAAGCACTATTTAATCTTTCACTTAAAATTAAAACAAGAGCACCCAACTGAGGACAAGCTTTTGATTATTTTTTCTTCCTTTTGTGGAAAGATGTGGCATTTGACTTCTAATTGCAGGAATGACTGGGTGAGCCTCAGGTGAGATGCATGCTAACACCAAGTGTAGAAGTTGTGTGGAACCTAGGTAATAAGAGTACTAACCAACCATGGGTCCCTCTCAGCTTATGACTAAATGCTTCCTGCTTTGGGAACTCATCCCACACGGGCTAGATAGGGAGGACGTTTTCTTTTAGCCTGAGCACACTGTAAGCTAGAAGGACATAACCAGGTATTCTAAAAACCTGCAGTTTTGTTCTATGGCTTGGAAATGGAGAGAAGCAACCACCTCTTCTAATGAGAACTATGTTCAGGAACATAAACTATTAATCAGAGTGCTTTTCTTCACAAGTGTCAAGGACAAACAGTTCTCAAACAAATGGAACATAAACCAGCATAGTGTTGTCTTTGAAGATCCAGACCTCCAACAGAAGATAGAATGAAGTGGGAGAGTGGATCCACTCTTAGGAGCATGGTCAAGAAGGGGAGAACTGTCTCAAAGAGGAAACATTTTCAAGTGGAAAATCCTCCCAATCTAACCTCTGACTTTTCATGTTAGTGTAATCACAAGCCCTTAGGATGTATGTAGTACATGCAGGCACATCACTTAACTCAGAGGTCACTGCTGTATCACACAGGAGTAACTTTCACCTGTTTTGATTTTAGCCAAGTGAAACCAGGCAGAACCTGGCAGAGTGATGCTTTCAGCTAACCCCTTCTGGTACAGACTTTATTCCAGGGCAGAAGTAGCAATCAATAAATTCCTATCTGGATTACAGAAGCATTCTGTAGATGAGCATTT